CAGTGGAGAAAAACCTTCAGTGGGTAGATTTTCAAGCAATGAACATTGTTGTACATTTTTCTTGGAAGGAGAAATGACTAGATGTGTAACTGTTTACTGATTCATGGGCTATAGTTAATGGTTTGACTGGGTGGTCAGGAACTTGGAAGGAGCATGATTAGAAAATTGGTGAGAAACACATTTGGGCAAGGGGTACATGGATAAATCTCTCCAACAGGCAAATGATGTGTACCATATAAATGCTCATTAAAAGTGACTCCAGAAAAAGAAGAGTTCAATAATCAAATAAACAAGATGGCCTGTTCTGTAGACAGCCTCTTCTCCAGACCATCCCATTGTTGCCTAAGAGGCCCATGAACAAAATGACCATGGTGGTAGAGATGGAAGTTATGCATGAACTCAACAACATAGACTTCTATTTACAAAGGCTGACTTGCCTATAGCTGTTGCTAAGTATCAAATCTGCCAGTATCAGAGACCAACACCAAACTCCTGAGATAGCACTATATAAGCCAGGGTAACCAGCCAGTGACCTGGTGGCAAGTTGGTTACAATGAACAACTTCCATAATGGAGGGGTCAATATTTTGTCCTTATTGGAATGCTTATTCTGGTCATGCATGTGCCTTTCTGCATGTGATGCTTTGTCCAAACTAACTTCAAACAACATTGCTTCTGACTATAGAATTTATTTTACAGCTAAGGAGTGTGTCTGGAATGCAGGAGAGCCTTTGCAGTGTCTCATAGTGTTCCATGTCCTGTGATTAAAGCCAATGTGAAACTACAACATATTCCGGCAGGGTGATAAACAGATCCGACCCTTCAGGTTACCTATCTGGGTAAATAACCAAGATATGTTAACGTGCTTCCCGAGGGTTGGAAGAAATGCATAAAGGAGGGAGTTCAGATGAGGCCACATGACCAGTTACAGAAACAAGGATTGTAACTACCCTGGTGCTGCTGATTCTTATGCTTGTATCAGAACCAGTATTTCTCAGCTTTTGCTGTGGACCAGGGACCAAGGCATCTCCAGGAAACTTCTGGGCTTTATGGAACCAGATTTGGACTGCTGAGGCACCCAGTCTATGAACTAGCAACTACCAGTAGTTGCCCTATCCCTCAGTGAGAGATGGTCATTGTTGGGTCAATCTGACTGCTAAGGTACCCATCCTCCAGGACCAAGTTATTACCGGATTCTCAGCTCTCAGGTTTGAGTCTGCTGTTGCCACTGCCCTGTAATTCAATATAAAACTAGGCTGTCCTCATACTCACAGAGATCTGCATTTCTGTTTCCCATGTGCTGGGATTAAAGGTATGCATTACCATGTCTAAGTCCAGTTAGTATTGGCATATGTGCATCCAATACATTTTTAAGAAAAATTACATAAACTAAAATTCATATATTTCTAGTTTTTAAACTTTAACTTTTAAATTTGTTTAATCTTTATTCTTTGTTGAATATTTTATCAGTGTAACAGAAAATTGCAGGAAGAAATACCTAAATATAAATATGACATCTAAGTGCATCTTCCACTTGGGCTTAAATGTTTTCTCCCTTATTCTTTTCTATTTTTTTTTGTTGTTGTTGTTGTTTTGTTTTAGACAGGGACTCTCTGTGTAGCCCTGGCTGTCCTGGAACTCACTTTGTAGATGAGGCTGGCATCAAACTCAAGATTTACGTGCCTCTGACTCCTGAGTGCTAGGATTAAAGATGTTGCCTGCCACACCTGACTTTATGTTGCCTCAGCTAACATCATTATAAAATTCTTTTCTGTGGTAGAATCAAGAATTTGCTTTAATCTTATTGTAGTTTATTTACTTAGTGTATTTGTGTGTGTGTACGCCTTGCGTGCATGTGAGCGCGCGAGTATGAACTTTCCAACTCACATGTAGAGATGTTAGAATGTTTCTGAACTTGGGTTTACAGTCTACAACTCAAGATTGGTTCAGCAACCCACCCTTCATTTGGGCCTCATTCTTAACTTGTAGTCTGACAAACGGTCAAGAGTTGTGTGAAATATCTTTTCTGGGAGCCAAGTTATTCATGTGTCTGGCATTTGAAGTTTCAGTGCTTTTCTTTTTCCAAGAAGAGGTCACTGGGGAAATTTTAATTTCTTGGTGTTCATTGTCTTAATTGTCTGGCAGCTAAAATGTGCCTTTAAGATATATTTGTTTCTGCCAGGTCAGATACAAAAGGACATCTGGGAGCTATTTCTTTCCTTCCACCATGTAAGTATCTGGAATTGAACTCAGATCATCAGGCTGAGCCATGTGGTCAGACTCAAGAACCCTTGAGTTTTACTTGAGTGGAGGCCCCTAAGGGAAATGGAGCTCCCCAGCCTGCTGACTACCCACTACCTGACATTTGTACCTTCCGGCCTCTATACCCTGAGTGATCACCAAATCTAGCTTGTTTTGCTTTTGAAATGTGGCAATTTCCATTAGTTCTATCTCTATCCTATCCATACATTCCGTCATATCTCTCTGTATCACCATCATGGTTTATACTACATCACTTGGTCCAGGTAACTGCCAGGCTTGTATTGTCTAAGTCCATTCTAGCACCACTCTAATGCATTTTCCTTACTGCACCCCTTCCTGTTTCTTTACTTTAAATTCCTCTTTGGAGATAGGAAATTGAGTCAAGGTATTTCTCATTAATTGCTGTGCTTGAGAAGCAAAGAGAAAAACAATATAATGACTAGAGTTTTGCTGAAGCAACTTGATTGTTTTCAAAATGGTAAGGTAGGGTACAGATTGCTGGTAGGGGGTGGTTGTAACTAGCAGGTGGAAAGGGGTGTGACCAGCAGGGGAAGATGGGTGTGATTAGCAATGCTTTTAATATTCTAGCCTCAAAATACTAGTTTGTAAAGTAGCTGTATTTACCAAGTCAGCCAAGCTAGGCTTTCGGAGAAGAAAATTTAAAGGAGAAAAACTGGAAATCTTGAGGCTATGACGTGTTAAAGGTGATATTCTACTGGACAACTTGTATTAGAAAATTAGACTTGGAAGCATATACACAAAAGCCATCACTGAGTTTAAAATATGGAAAACAGATGGCTGTTGTGTAATCTTTTTGTATTCTGTGAAGATGTGTCTTTGTCAACGTGCCCCCCCTCCCCCAGACAGGGTTTCTCAGTATAACAGTCCTGGAACTCACTATGTAGACCAGGTTGTTCTTGAACTCACAGAGATCCACCTGTCTTTGCCTCCCGAGTGCTGGGATTAAAGGCCTGAACCACCAGGAGGTATAGGCAGGACAGACAGACCCAGAGGACATTGGGAAGAAAAAGGTAGGTTGCCAGGAGACACCAGAGGAAAGAAGACATGCTGGAGGACAGGCAAAGTCTGAGTCACCTGGTAATACATAGATTAACAGAAATGGGTCAATTTAAGTTGTAAGAGCTAGTTAGTAAGAAACCTAAGCTATGGCTATGCTTTTACAGTTAATAAGTCTCTGTGTCATTACTGGGGAGCAGGCAGTAACTGCAAAAAGGTCCAACTACTGATAGCACAGTGAGATCTGCTGAGAAAGTTAAATTTAAAAAATTCAGAAAAGAAATAGTTTTGAGTCGGGTAAGGGAAAATAATGAGTATCATTCCCAACTTCTACCCAACAGAATCCCAACCCACGTCTATAGATAGCCAAATATCACATGGGCGCAGGAAGGGAATTGCTCCTGATTAGCACTGAATTCAAATAGTATTGATGAGAAGCTATTTTTCAGCCCCTAAAATCTTACTATTGGAAAAACAGTATTTATATCATCCTGAGCTTATTTATCCTGAAAAAAAAAAAAGTTCATACCCAAGGAACTTACATTGGGCAGGCTACACGTATCCAAGAATGTAGGCAGGAAAAGAGGCTATGAGAGCATCGCTTGACTCCCAGGTGGAGAGAGCGAAATCCTGAGCAGTGATGTGGCACTCAACTGCATCTTCTGTTGGTGGCCTTCACCCAACACTGCAGACCACTCTTTCCTCCCCTGATGTAACCTTGCTCTCTAGTCACAGGCTGGTGGCTTTGATGGAAGCATGGCTGGGCCCAATGGTTTATTACTTGAAAAGACTCTGCAATTAACTGTGGTCCTATAGTGTGACTGCACAGTGATGTTTACCTGAATTATGGCAATTCCTAATGTGGTTTAAAGGCAGAAACTGTAGAGGTAGCTCTGAGTTTGACTATCTGGGTCCAGCAAACTTGAATATGTTGGCCCTCTAGTTTTCTTCCCATTCTCTTCTAAACTGCACCCTTAACACTCACTGGGTGACTTGATGAACTTGGGAAAGGAGAATGAATACGCAGGTCAATGGGGATAGACGAGAAACACTGGCAAGTAATACAAAGGTATGAGCCTTCTGAGGACTACAGAGGGACTCAGAAATGGATTGAAGAATGTTAAAGATATTATTGTTTTAAGTTAGCAGAAGTAGTAGAATATGAAGTAAATTAAAAAGATATAGTGGTAGGAAAGTAGACTATATCCATAGTACATTTTTTTATATACTGGAATTTGTTACTCTCACTAAAATAACTTTCTCCAAACAATCCTACAAACATCTATAATGGCACTGGAATGTGATTTTGATTATTATAAAATGAGAACTATTTCTATTAAAGTAAATTACCACAGGAAGTTCTATAAAAAGTATATCCTTCTAAAGAAAATTTTGCTGAAACAACAAAGAAGTCTCTGTCTCTCTTCCCCTCCCCTCCTCTTTTTCTCTCTCTCTTGACAGGGTTTCACTTCATATCCCTGTCTGGCCTGGAACTCAAGACCCTCCTGCTTCTCCTCCTGAATGCTGGGTTAGTGTGCCATATGCCTGGCCCACAACTATTTTTCATTGACACAACTATTGTTTTAAAAGTCTGTAAGAGTTCAAATAGCCTATATAATTTGCTATGGATGTTATTAATAACTTTTTTTGCTTTGGTTTAAAAATTTTAGGTTTAATTAAAACTCAACAGCATTATAGAAACACATATCAATACACTGAGCCTTTGCATAAATATGTTGAGTTTATTCAAGATACACTCTTCTCATTTAAAACTAACAGCTGATAAAGTCCATTTTAAAATACAATGACATGAAAACAGGCACAATATGAAAACAAAGACTCCTGATTTTAGAGACTTAGTATGAAACTTTCCTTACTATGAAATTATCCTTTTAACTTCTTCAGTGTCAATTCTGGGTGAACCAAGATGGCCTCTTCATGTTTCGTTCCACAATCCTCTTGCCCTGATCCTGTTCTGATGGTTTCTCTCCTGTGTACAGTACCACAGTCTCTACAGTAGGAGCTTTAAAGGGGTTCCCTTCTTGAGCCCATATTTGTTGTCTGATTTTTGTTGTTTCCTTGCGTACTTTCTCATAGCAATAGCCACAAAGGACATGTTTCTGCTTCAGGTGACCACACTCAGGGCAAATGTCTATATTGTTCTTGAAAACAAAGAAAAACATATCAACAATAAGCAATATACACACAATCACCAGAAGGAGGCCTAAAATGCTGACACTGTAGCTTTCTGAGAATGCTCATGCTACGTGAGGGTACAGACTACCTAGTTCAACTTTAACAGTAAAACTGAAAAAACAGTAACACTCAGTTCAAGTTAGTAAGAAAATTGGGGCTAGAATTCAAGTTTACCAATCTAGTATATTTTTATTCATACAGTCTATGGATAAACTATTTTCAGATTCTCTTATCTATCCTTTGGCCAGAGTAGAATATTTTGATTATGTGACTCTAGTGAATTCCATATTAAGCATAGTTAAGGAAAAAGTTTGGAGACTTTTACAGAAGTGTTGATTGTGAAGATCCTATGTGACTTTTGAACTGTAAGCTCTGTCAGTCTTTTAATTTCAAACAATAAATAACCAACAAGGAGCCCATCAACACAATGGGTTGATCTTCTAACTTAAAACATCAAGGAAAAGTTAAATAACTTCTCAATCTATGTTGAGCCAAACAAGATAAGACACACATATACAAATTACCTTAGCTTTAATAAGCTTCCGGGGGTCTCTTCTCCTACACAGGTTAACTTCAATGGTGCGTCTGTTTTTGGGAGCTGCCATCCAAAAGATACTATCTAAAAAGCTGGAATTCTCTTTATTTCCATTGGTCTCATGTGCTAGTTCTGTGAATACAGATGGGCCCTGGACTGCTAATGCTGGTGCTGTAAAACAAGAGATAAGAATCAACTTCTAGTTCCTAAAGACTAATTGTGGATACTGTTCTCTTTAACAATCAACGTGTCACAAGCCTATTAGACAACGAATGGATTGAAATGATTCTCTCAGGTAGCACACGGAGACAAATATTTATTACACGGTGCTGTGATCTAATGGAATATATTGCTGCTCAGATTCTCTGGGCATTACCACTTCTGGGATATACCTTAAGTGCCAAAGCAATTTAAAGTTTAACATCCAAGATATAGAAGCTCGAAGCTAGCCTGGGCTACACAGTGAGTTCCAGACCACCCTTAGTTACAGAGACAGTGCCCCCCCACTCCCCGCCCCAAAAAAATCAACCAAACAAAAACCCACGCACTGTTTCTCTCATACAACTCTTGGAAGCCCCCGCCAACGCACTCCCCACGAACTGTCTCTTACGAACCCCACTGAGGACTGGCAACGCCATTCCAGCTCCGCTGCAGTTGCTGCAGCAGCTCCCTGCACCTGCGGAGCGGTCGCGCCGGCCACGGGAAGCGAAGCAGCAGCAAACGAGACGCCATGACTCTCACTGGAGATGGATGCATGCTGGGACCCGGCGCACACCGCCAGCTCCCCCGCCTCCCTGCTCAGAGCATGCGCACGGCCGCTCCTACGCATGCGCGCGGACTCAGAGCCTGGCTGCTTCAGATCCTCAAACTCCAACTCCCAGCTGCCCCTGGAGCGCTTCTGACTCTCCTCCAATTAGAGAAAAGAGACTCAAAGGAAATAGACGCACCACGCATGGGCGTGGCTGTTTTCTGACTTCCCGGGTAAAGATGGCTGAGCGTGGCTATAGCTTTTCGCTGACTACATTCAGGTACCCGGGGGACCCCAGTTTCCACGCATCACAGGTTCCAGGAGCGCCCCAGACCTGGGCCCCGTGTCCTGGATCTGGCTGGTGTTTCCGCAGGGGGCGCGTGGGGATGGAGCCGCACTCGCAGCTTTGCAGAGTCATGTGCGATGCCGGGCCTGGGCCCTGACGGGGGGCCCGCCGCCTTTGGGGCTGAGGATCCGGAGGCTCCGAGCCAGGCGCTGACTTTCCCTCTCTAGATTAGAAAACGGGTGCTTTGGGATATCTTGTTTGCAGCTGGCCCATTGAGGACCAGTATTTCCTTCCTGGCCCAGATAGGTCTGAACCGGAGCTTTGGAAACTGATTCCTGGTCAGTCGTGTGAGACGCCCTTTTTCTTTTGGGAAATCCTTCTTTACGGTTCAGTCCCAGTCTTAGTCTCTAGTTAGAGTCTTAGTCTCCTGTTTAGCAACAGTGTACTTTGAAGCTCACTCTGCTTTCGGTTTCTACTTTGCTCCTATAGAAGTCTTAAGAACTACAAAATGAAGGCTTATTTCCTATCAGGTTTTCGTGGAACTACAAAATGAAGGCTTATTTCCTATCAGGTTTTCGTGGAACTACAAAATGAAGGCTTATTTCCTATCAGGTTTTCGTGGCACACTCAGACTGATAAGCTAAAATCGATGTTTTGCTTGATTCATCACGAAAAGATTGCTTTAAACAGATTTTTAGACCTTTCTGTTAGGAAATAGAGAATTAAATATGTGTACTTTGTTTTCTCATCGCCCCCTGTTTAAGAAATTTCATTATGGAAGAATTTAGATAAACGACTGTGGTTTGACCATTAAGGATCCAACTGAAGGCAACCAGGGTCTACTTGTTGAATTTAACTGTAACTGTGGTTTTCCACTGCAACCTATATGTGATGAATTACGGATGAGCTAACCACAGCGAGTTTGTCCATGAGTAGCTAAGTCGATATTCAAACTTTGTTCGTTTTGAAAACAAAATGAATGTACTTTTCGTTACAATATATTGTCTTCCTTTTGAAAATTGCCTTTTTGTAGTTTCAAATAAGAAGTGAGGGTGTGGAATTTTGTATTTGTTTTGGAAACTTTGAATGAATTCCACTCAATTCCTTAGTAAATGATTTAATTACTATGGCAGAGACTAACTGGGCATGGTAGTCAATTATATTTATAAACAAAACAGATAATAATGAGGTTTTTAAGTGTGGTCTCATTGGAGCTGAAATGAAGGAATATAGATCATAAGGGACTGGAATTTTTTTAAAATTTCTTTTTGAAACAGCCATTTGTAGCCCAGGCTAGCTTAAAATGGCCAGTAACTAAGGATGAACTTGAACTGGTCTTCCTGCCTCTGCTTCCCTGGTGATAGGATTCTAGTAGTGCACTACCATACCTGGTTTATGCTGTGTCATGCATTCTAGGCAAGTGTCCTACCATGGGAGCCACATCCTCACCCCCTGAATCTTTTATAACAGACATCTGAATGTTTTCACAACAGATTTCTTTACTATAACAAACCTTTTTTTTAACATGATAAGGTTTAGCTATTTTGGGAGAAAAGGTTTTTAGCCTTAAAATTGTTAGTGGTGCAAGCTGACAGAGATAGGAAATAAAGCAAGTTTTCTTCCTGCTTGCATTTGACTGAAAATGATAAATGAGCAAAAGAAACTGACGCCCACTGGTGCCAATTCTTCACGGTGTTTTTCTGTTACTGGAAATGGTATTGGAAGAGATAGGAGTATAACTTCAGACCGAGCTCTCAGGAAAGGCCTATGCTTGGTGAGTGAGTTCTGAAACTAGAAAATGAGAAAGTGCTGGCTGCCTGAAGATTTAAGAATAAAGAAAATTGTTGGCAGGATATACCAACAATTGAAGGAGCCAAACATACAAGGTAGACAAGAGAACAAGAGTACACCTGCTAGAGCAAGTAATTTTTGTTTTAGATGAACCAAGAAGTTATTGTGGGATTTATGTCAGAGTGGCAAGGTATAAAGGTTGCTGCTTCAGAACCGAAGATGAGAAGAGAAATAGTTCCCAGCCTGTTAGAATTACCCCAGGGAGACGCTGGTGTTTTTGTGTGGGGTACCAGGATTATTGACTGCAGGTACACTTGCCTAAAGTCAAGGCAGGCGAGTGGTGACAGAGGCAGTGGTAGTAGTGCTTTGCTAACCAGAGCTGGGGGAAAACAACAACAAAGCAAAGGAAAGAGAATTACTGTCCCCCCTGAGCCTATCCAAATCTCGTAAGTGTAGTTTCCAAACACTTGGCAGATCTCAAAGGCCAGCATGTTTGGTTAGTGAGATTTGACCTATATGTCGTCCTTCTATTGGAAGTGTGCCTGTAGTAAATATTTCGAAGTGTGTAAACATAGCAAATGTCTTTGTTTCTTTTTAAGCCCATCTGGTAAACTTGTCCAGATTGAATATGCTTTGGCTGCTGTAGCTGGAGGGGCCCCTTCAGTAGGAATTAAAGGTAATTAAATGTTTCATTCACCTTGGATGCTTCTTAGTAGTTACCTGAAATAAATTCTTAACAGTCTTGTTAGATTAGAGAATTTTGAAGTTTGAAAAAAAATAGCATTCAGCACAGTTTAAATTTCATGGCAAATATAGTATTTTAATCTATTGGGATAATCCATAAGTAGTATTTTCCTCAGGAAACCATTATTATTTTTTGAATGTCTTCTTTTTCTCTGGAAGTTTTATCTTATTTATAAAGGACTAGTTATAAAGCATCTAAAGATTAAATTATTGTATGTTCTGGTATCCTTATAGAAAAATTTCTAATTGTTTTTATTAGAATAGTTAATGAAGTTTATTGTTTAAAACCAGTAAACTTGAAAGTGTTGAGAGGAACTGGGTAATACCTGCCACTATGGGGATTTTTTTGTTTGTGCAGTATAAATGACCAGTGACAGAAAAGATGATTTATTATTTCTTTGGTAATTTTTGTATAAGAATCCAAAACGGGATTGTAATCTAGAGAAAGCAACAAATTTGTTTAATGCATCTGTAAGTAGAAAGCTAATGGAGAACACATAATATTTATCTTTTTTTTTTCTCTTTTAAGCTGCAAATGGTGTAGTATTAGCAACTGAGAAAAAGCAGAAATCCATCCTGTATGATGAAAGGAGTGTACACAAAGTGGAACCGATTACCAAGCATATTGGTTTGGTGTATAGTGGAATGGGCCCAGATTACAGGTATTACATACCATTTACAGTGTTTCCTCATCATCTGATACCTTAATCCTTCTTTGTGGTTGTTTCATTTAGTCCTGGCAGCCTGATGATACCTAAGTTTAGTTTGCCTATAAAGGGTTACTTTATGGAAGTTGATCTTATGATACACAGTTGTCAAAGAGGTGATAAATTACCTGCTTACCTGTTTTTTCTCATCACTATCTCATTTCCTCTGCCCAAGGACTTGGTAGGAAGAGCTTTGGTGTTCTGATGCACCTTAAAAATGTTCAAATGTTTTAGTAAAGTATTGTTAAGGTGATTCAGGCAGCAAGAGAAAGCATGAATCATATAAGAGTTAACCTCATTCTATTTATTTCTGCTCTTGTCAAAGGCACAAATGTCTTTAAGGCCACTGAGTGGCTATCCAAGAGTCATAGGCTTATAAAATCACTCCTTTTGTATTTCACTGGGAAAGAGAGAGTATACCTGTTATACTGGGATACCAGTAAGTTGAAAGAGATTGATGGCTTTCTTTTTCTCGTACACAACTAAAAACAAAATTACTTAATTTTATGAAACAAGATAGAGTTTACTTGGAATTATAAGTCAATAAGGTTACCAGAATATGATTAGCTTTCCTGTTGTGGAAAATTCTATGCCACTGGGTAGAGTGGACACTGCAGTGAACTGTTGCTGATAAACAGACTTAGGGACAGAAATATGAATGGGTGTATTCATATGCATCTATGTTTGGGGTGGCTGAGTGAAGTATAAATAGACTGCCCTCAAGACAAGGGAGGCAATTTGGTTGAAGTCACAGTAGGAGAAATGAGGCTCTCATTTTGTAAATTAAATGTTACCTTTATATAGTGTGTAGATGTTTTGCCTGCATATATATATATATCTGAACTGTGTGCATCCACTGCCCCCAGCGGCCAGAAGAGGGCGTTGGATATCCTGAAAATGGGAGTTGAGATGGTTGTGAGCCACCATGTGGATGCTGGGTGTTGAACCTGTGTCCTCAGAAAGGGCAGCCAGTGCTCTTAGCCACTAAGCCATCTCTCCAACTCCCTAAATCTGTTACTATCTATACTCTAGTCCTGCTTCTCTTTCTGTTTGTCTCCTATTGTAATTCTGTTTCTTTTCTAAGCCCACTGGAATCAGGTGTCAAGAGACTACTTCTGAGCTGATGGCTGTTGGAGAGAGCCACATGCTAAGCTTGTGTTGTGGGTGCTTTTAGAAGAAAGTTATGGGGTAGTTAGTAGTATTATACTTTAATTATTATTATTTTTTTATTTCCTTAGAGTGCTTGTGCACAGAGCTCGGAAACTTGCCCAGCAATACTACCTTGTCTACCAAGAACCCATTCCCACAGCCCAGCTGGTGCAGAGAGTAGCCTCTGTGATGCAGGAGTATACCCAATCAGGGTAAGTTGTTTTTATTACTTGAAGACGTGTATCCTGAATTTGAAGAAGAAAAAACACTGTAAAAGAAAACAGATACATAGGCATCGTCTTCTTTCTGTATTTACTAACAAATGAAGAGAATCACTATGATAATGACTATTTCTGATTTTGACCGAAATAATTTAAGGTAAAAATGTAACTGGGTATGATGATGCACACCTGTGAACTGAGTACTTGGGACACTCAGGGAGGTAGACCACAAATTCAAGGCAAGTCTGGGTTACATAGATACTGTTTCAAAAGGAAAAAGAGAATATGTTCTTATCCCACAGCAGAGCAAAGCATATTGATTTCAAAGGGGCCCCTGGCCAGTGATTCTTTATAGGAAATCTTTAGTGCTTCTGTACTTAGCTTTTTAACCTAAAGTGATTGTGAGCATATGAAAACAGCAATAACGTCTTAATGCTAGTACTATTTTTTAAAAGAATTGTTTTGTAGTTTATTTTAAAAGAATTGTTTTGTAGTTTATGTATATGGGTGTTTCGTCTTCTTGTATGTCTGCACACCAGAAGAGGGCATCTGATTCCATGACAATTGTATGAGACTACAGTTATTAGATATTTGTGACCCACCCTGTAGTTGAACTCAGGACCTCAGAAATAGCAGCCAATGCCTTTAACCACTGAGTCATGTCTCCAGCTCCCCAGTAGTCTTAAGTTATACTGTGAATGAGATAGTGTAAAAGTAATTGCTGATACATAAGCCTAGTGGGAAAGAGCTATTTATTAAATTTGTTAGGACGTGTTTCTCCATGCTTAGATAGTAACACTTTATAGGCGTGTCTTATTCCACTTTGTGTTACTCTAGCCAAGTATCTCAAATAGTTTTTACTTAGTTCAGAGCTCTTTGGGTCCAAGATTGTGGTTCAGTTGTACAGACTATTTGGTAAGGTTTTTCTGACAGCTAGCGTTGCATGGCTAGAGGTCACGAAGTAAGAGAAACTAAGAAAGTGGTGGTGATCTATCCCATAGAAACTAATCCACTTCTGCAACATGTAACCCACTCTGAGAAACAAACATTGTTAACCTTCCCTAGGATGGCACCATGTCTCACCTTTTGTAATTATGTTATACTTAGAAGTACTTTCTTAGGAACTTTTGGGAACCAAACCATAGCAAGGTGCTATGTCGTTTAACTTAGGCTCACTGCTGTTCCTAAGTAATAAAAAGAATTCATTTTAAGTGGGTTCATTTAGAAGTTAAAGTTAGGAAATGTAACTTAGTTTACTTGGTACTTTGCTTTATTTGTGCGTATATGTAAATTCTTTATTCCAAGTCGTCCTCATTTTCTTTCTACAGTGGTGTTCGTCCATTTGGTGTTTCTTTACTTATTTGTGGATGGAATGAGGGACGGCCATATTTATTTCAGTCAGATCCATCTGTAAGTATCCTTACATATATTTGAGCATTTATTAGAATTGCCTTTTATATATCTAATAAAAGTTAAAACCATAAAACTTTATAATTTAGCAGAATTTTCTTTTTTTTCCACTTGTTTTTAATGATTTATTTTTACCTTTAATTATGTATTTACCTGTGTGTCTGTGTGGGTATGTGCATGTAACTGCAGGTGCCCATGGAGGTCAGAGGAGTCAGATCCCACTGAAGCTTGAGTTACAGGTAGTTGAGAGGCACCTGACTTGGTGCTAGGACTAGAATTTGGGTCCTCTCTTAAGCCTAAGCTATTGCTCAAGCCCCTTCACTTCGTTTAGAAAGTTTAAAGTAGAATGCATTTGTTTGCACATTCAGCATTTTTTGTAGCACTTTCTTTGATGAGGAAGCTATGTGCCGCATTAGTTTTCCCCCTTTTTGGTCATATTTGTTAGCGTGTACTAGCGTGTTGTAGTTACCAAATTTCATTAGATCTCTATTTTGGCAAACACATCAGTTTTTGTAACAGGAGGCCAGTGGTACAATCTTTACCATCAGTTTGATGCTTGGGTTGTTTTGAACATGACTCTTGGAACAAAAGCATTGATTTATCTTGAATTCAATGATTTACAGAATGATTGTGAATTTTTGTTTATAAATTATTAGATAATAGCAAGTTCTCCCAATGCAAGCCTTACACTCTTACCTTACAAACTGGAAAGGCGAAATAAAAGTCATGGGAATGTGAGATCGTCTGTGAGCTTATGAAGGTCAATGGCCTGGCATGCGGGCTTGCCTTCCCATCCAGTAGAGGAAGGCAGTGTCTGGAACTGTGTTTATCTCTTGCTCTCTCTCCTTTCCCTTACGGACTCTAAAAGGTATTGTCTGACCCACACTATGAGCTTTCCTCTATGTGCATATCTTTGTTTTTCCCAGGTGAGACTATTATATCAAGGGCTTCTTAAACATTCCACTTGCTACTTTTTTTTGCCCAGTAAAGTTATTTGTAACCATGGTAAATATAAAATACATATACAAGTCAAATGTTGACTGACAATAAATCACAAAGAAACCTATCTAAAACAGTTCTTTGGTGTACATATAATTTTACCTTTTATTAAAAACAGAAACAAGTTTGCATACTAATGAGATGGATGGGCTTGTTTATTTTTACAGAAAGAATACATCATTGTAGAATACTTGAATCTACAGGCCCTTGGAGTTAGTATTTTGATTTTATACTTGTCAATGCTTAAGGCTACCACTTCACATAAATACTCACTGCAGAAATGGCAGAAAATGCTTAGGGCTATTTCAAAAATTCTTGGAAATTCTAATCCCATCTAAAATTCACTTAATAGTTGTTTTTATGAAACTCAAGTCAGCAACCCAAACAACATTTAAAATTCTAACAGTGGCATCTAGACTGAGGAATGATGTTGCTTAAACATTGTCTTTTATTTCTTGTAATTAAATCATTATGCTCCTATAAAAGTAGAACACTTGTTATTGAAGCACAGTGAAAGCACACACTCCCTGACGTAATAGTAGTCTCAAGTCAGTGTTGGTTGGTGTTGTGTGGCATGATGGCAGTGCAGAATGCACTTAAGTCTTCAGAGCCAAAGCTGTGGTGAAGCCACTTATGTGGCATGTCAGAGAACTGCCCAAAACACCTTGTAGTCTGCACACATTGATTCTGAACCAGTTTTTGATTGTTAATTATTTGGAAAGCCAAGTGTTTCATGACCCCATTAAAATATATTCAAAGGTTCTGATACTTGCCATGAAAAGCCATCTGTGTTCACTAAAGGTGAGTGATCAACAGCTTTTAAGATGCAACACAGTTTTAGATGCATTCAATATATAAGCTAAAATATTACTCGGTATTTATTTTACTTTAACTCCTACTTTAGCTTTTAAAGTACATCTAACTGCTCTAACTCATATCAATGTTTGATGAGTTTTGATTTGTATGTGTGTGTATGTACGTACATAAATACCTGAGTAAACCGTTGCCACATTCAGATTAACAATTCTGAGTTCCTTCCTGACTCTTTGTCATCTGTTTTATAGCCTTTGAACAAAACCTGTTCTGTGAAATTGCCATTCAACTTCAATAAACAATCATGACTTTAGAAGTTAGAAACCAATGATAGCTAAATTCAGATGTCAGAAAAATAGAGTTGTTCTGATGTTTTAAAATGTTTTCTCTCCTGATTAGGGAGCCTACTTTGCCTGGAAGGCCACAGCAATGGGGAAGAACTATGTTAATGGGAAAACTTTCCTCGAGAAAAGGTAGGCATCCTGGGATCAGATTCCTGGGCAGTCTGATCTTAACAGACTTCAGAACTCTTTAAATGATTAGTTTCATGGATCTAACACATTTTTTGTATCATTCTATATTTGTGTCTAGCTAGAAATAAAGAAAAAAGATCCTAATATCTTGATTTCCTAGTCTTCAGTGTATTTAGTGGTAATATTACTCATTTCTTAAAGATATTGCTCAACCTTGTTTCATTTTTAAAATATTTATTTACTTGGGGGTTTGGTGTGGCTGAGACAGGATTTCTCTAGGTAGCCTTGGCTCTTTTTTTTTTTTTTTTTTTTTTTTTTTTTGAGACAGGGTTTCTCTGTATTGTTTTGGAGGCTGTCCTGGAACTCACTCTGCAGACCAGGCTGGCCTCGAACTCACAGAGATCCGCTTGCCTCTGCCTCCCGAGTGCTAGGATTAAAGGCATGCGCCACCACCGCCCGGCTGCCCTGGCTCTTCTTAACTTGCCCTCTAGGCCATGTTTCTACCTCACTGGAATCTGCCTCTGCTTCCTGAGTGGTGTGCTGCAAGCATGTCCAGCTATTGGTTGTTTCTTAAGTGTTTACATTTTAGTTCATTTCCCCCATCATATTGTTTTTAAACCCATTATATTTAGAGTAGAAAGATACTCTAATTTTCGAGTTAATAATGACTCGAAAATTAAAAATTGAGTTGGCTGCATGTGGAGGCCCAAGCCTGTAAAATCTAGCAAGTTAAATCTAGTCTGGACTACAGAGTGGGCTGTGGTCCAAGCTGTGCTACGAAGAAAACAGTGTAAGAGGAGTAGTTGGTATTGAGCAGACCACGTGATGTATGTTTAAGAATGGAGTGCTGTATAAAATCTGCTGGAAGTGCTGGGCACACAGCTGTTTCACTTACAGCTATATTCTGAACTCAGTGTGGTCCTTGTCCTCCATTGTCTCTGATATTTTGGACAGAAAGTTTTATAGATGAGGTCTAATAAATGATCTTCCTTTGCACATTTTTCACGTTATATTCATGTTAGGTTATTAAAGATTTTAGACTTTTAATCAAATTTAATCAAGCTCAATCTTGATTAAACTTTAACTTTAAATTTTACTTATTAATGAGTCTTCAGCATACTGTGTTATTACTAATGATAAAGAATTTTAGCAATAGTCTGACTTTTATTGTAGTATTGTTGAAACACAATTTTTTTTTTTGTTTTACGAGACAGGGTTTCTCTGTATTGTTTTGGAGGCTGTCGGTCCAGCCTGACCTCGAACTCACAGAGATCCGCCTGCCTCTGCCTCCTGAGTGCTGGGATTAAAGGCATGCGCCACCACCACATGGCTACAAATTTTTTTAATAATGAAATTTTTTTTCATGGTAGGTATTAGTAGTTAAATGGAAGTGTCACTTTATTATTTGGGGATAGTTCTCTAATTGAGATGATTAAGGAGTGTTCTTACAACTAAGTAATTTTAAGACGATTTAATTTTTAAAAGATTTCATGTTTTTGCTATCTTTTTTATTTAAAACAGCCATGAAGAACCTAAACTGTGCTGTAACATCTTTTTTTTTTTCAATATTTTTCTTTAGGTACAATGAAGACCTAGAGCTGGAAGATGCCATTCATACAGCCATCTTAACTTTAAAGGTTAGCTCAGTATCCAGTGATGGTTTTAAAATGATCGGTTTTCTAATGAACTGCTTGTGAAATTGACCATTTTCCTTCCATCCTCAATTAGGAAAGCTTTGAAGGGCAAATGACAGAAGATAACATAGAAGTTGGGATCTGCAACGAAGCTGGCTTTAGGAGACTCACCCCAACTGAAGTGAAGGATTACTTGGCTGCCATAGCATAATAAAGATGTGCCTGAACAATCCAGATCTCACACAATCTATCTACGTACACATGTTTAAAGTATGTTTTGTTTGTGCAGTCTTATTTCTACATGGTTTAATGGATTCACATTTTTGAAATAATAATCATAATAAACTATTAAAACCAATTTCTCGTTTTTAAGAGTAAGGTTTGAGCATACCTCTTTCTCACTTTATTGTAGTTGATTTTGGAAATAACATTGCAAAGTAGAATTATTTTAAAAAACACTCTTATTTTTTCATGTATTTTCGTTATCAGAATTCACTGCCCCTTTTACTATCAAATATGCCTGTGCTTCCGTAAAAGACATTTCTGGTTTTTAATATACATCATGGCTTTTAGAACTGAGAGAATCTGTGTGCTTTGAATTCATGAGACAGGCTACGGATTATGTTATGCACCTTTTAGGTGTGGATCAGTGAGGTCCTGGCATATTCTGCAGTTGTGGAGTGTTAAGCAACATTGGTCTCCTTGGAGATATGTGAGTAATTGGTCCTGTTTGTTTCTCCATCTCATGTAGGTAAACACATTTAAAAGGATTCCCTAGATTATGTAAGATCATTTCTTAAGGGTAAATATAAATGTTCGTAATAAAATACTAAGGTCAGAATTGTACCTCTCTCATTAGTGTGAGAACTGTCACTGTAAGTAGGTCCTTAACAGCAAGCAAGTAGTTAGGCATTTAAACCCATTTTCTTTTTTTTTTTTTTTTTTTTTTTTTTTGGTTTTTCGAGACAGGGTTTCTCTATGGCTTTGGAGGCTGTCCTGGAACTCTCTCTGTAGACCAGGCTGGCCTCGAACTCACAGAGATCCACCTGCCTCTGCCTCCCGAGTGCTGGGATTAAAGGCGTGCGCCACCACGCCCGGCTTAAACCCATTTTCTTTGTGGAAGTCTGGTTCATAATTTTACTCGGGTTTCTCCCCTTAAACATCTTAGGATAAAAGGCACTCTTACAAAGTGGACTGTTTATGATTGTTACCAGAATGCACAGGGAGCCAGTTCAATGACTTAAATGTAATTGGAGAGATTTTGACCAACATTAGATAAAGTTTAGAAACAAGTAGTGAAATCTTAGAATATTTTTGGACAGGGTGTGCTGTTTTGCTCTCTGTTACTATACAACCATATCTTGTTAATGGGAGGCAGTAGCATTTAAGAGCTGGGAAGGTGGCACCTTGACCTTCTGGAATTCTTCATGTGTTTATTGCACATGTGTGGTGTGATATGACTCCATTTGTTTGTGTGGGTACCAGTGATATGGAGACGAGATTGATGTTGGGTGCCTTCCTCAGTTATTCTGTACCTTATGCATTGAAATCCAGAGCTTGCCTGATAACAAACTAGTCTAGCTAGTTTGCTCTGGAAATCCCGTCTCCGCCCTGTTTGAATGCTGGGCTTAATAGACTGCTGTGCTTGCCCCACATTCCTGTGGGGTTAGACCTCTGGTGTCCAACATTAAAGATCACACACACACACACACACACACACACACACACACACACACACACACACACACAAAACAGAGGAAGCTGGTGATTGTGTCTTATACCTGTAATCCCAACATTCTGGTGGCAGAGACAGGTGGATCTGAGTTTGATGTTAGCCTGGTCTACAGAGTTCCAGGACAGCCAGAGCTACACAGAAGAAATCCTATCTTAAAGTAACAGCAAAACAAACAGAAGAGTGCCAACATTTATAAATCAAAGGAAAAGGAAAACAAAGAGGTGGTCCTGTGCAACAGGGAGGTAATTGAAGCAGGTAAGATTCAGGTTCAGTTGTCTTGCTTTCTGCGTTGGTTAAATGCAAAGCTGCCTAAAACTCCATTCTCTGTTTACAAAACTGAACCAAAGAATTCTTTTCACTGGCTTTGAAACTAAGCTGTTTCCTTTTTGTCCAGTTATTTCAGAAACCCATTCTTTGATGTAGGGAGCTATTGTTTTTCTAAACATTCTTAAACTCTCAAATCATTTTAGGCTTGTGGATTTTAGTTTCTTTTAATCTTGTGTATCATAATGTTCCCAGTGTTCATAGCTTCTCCCAACATTTGGTTCAATTGGTATCTGAAAGATTTTTGTCTCTAATCCCTTACAATAAGTTTTGCTTTGCAAAGTTACTAAAAGAGAACCATGGATGTTATTGAGATTTACATATGTGGGGATAATGAGTTGGAAGGGAAGAATGAGAACTCTGCCTTATAATGGAGCACCGAGCACTTCAATGAATATTTGTATTTCCAGTAATTATAAACAGAAATTGCTGAGTCTTGGTGCTTAACCTCACCCACTTTCCTGCCAGTGTTAACAAGCTTTTCAACTCTCCAACCCTAACCTCTGCCCCACTATAAGGAAGAGAATTTTCATTCAACGGCAACCAGTCCAGTGGCCCATTACAGTTCTTGTCTGTGACAAAATACTCCTCTCTGTAGCCTTTGGAATTTTCAGTGTTCTGGAATTTTTATTTGCCTTTTAGTGAGGTTTTTTTTTTTTTGTTTGTGTGTGTGTGTGTGGAGTGCTTTAAATACGGGTGACTTTGTGTGTCATCCTCCTGTAGGGCCGTGCTAATCTCCGGATCACTGGTTGCTTACGTGCTGTGAAAGGAAGCACTTTTGCTTTTTCTTAATGTTCATTGCACTGAACACCCAAGTAGTTCTTTACTATAAAAATTTTCTAAAATGGACATAAAATTTCCGTCAATTGGATATCTGACTCTTGCTTTGTGCTGTTTTTTAATCTTACTATACTTGCTAGTCAATTGATGTTTAAAATTTGAGACACTGCCTTTATTTTTGAAGAGCTGTTTCCTATTCTATGCCTTTTTAAATGAAGAAACTTTTTTTTTTTTAAGTCTAAGTACCATTTTATTTTTCCAAGGTGTTTTTGTCTTCTGTCTTTATGAAGCCATCTCTACATGGGCTTCCGTGGTGGTCGTGGTACAGCACCAGCAGGTCTAAATCGTGGTGGGCGTGTTCGGTCCTTTGGGCTTCACAAGATCGATTCCTGACTGCCTTGCTATGAATAGCACAGCTCACACAGATGGCCAAAAAAGAACGGTCGTGCCAAAAAAAAAAAAAAAAAGGTCGCGGCCATATGCAGCCAATTGGATGCATAGACTGTGCCCTGTGTGTGCTCAGGCCTCACGTGCTTTCCAAATTCTGTCAAGCTGCTTTACTGTGTGAAATTTATTTGTGGGTCAAAGTAACTGATTATTTGAAGGTTCCAGTTATAAGACACTTCTTAAAGCAACTTCATTGTGCCATCTCTTTCCTTCGAATGTCTGGAAGTGTGTGAATGAGTCTGGTATCTACCTACTTTCTTGTACACTGTGAAAGACAGATTTCTTTGGAGTTTTATTTATTTATTTACAGTTTCGAGGGGGAAAGGTGGAGGGGGTTGGGTAATGGAAGATGGGAGCCCTGGAGGAGCAAGTAGGCTAGTAACACCGTTTTAATCAGAAAAACTTCACACTCAATAATGGCGCCTATCTTTTGTTGGACTTTAATCTGGCACCCTTGTTTACCTTCATCACCATAAACTTATTTCTGGGGAAGGATTAGGAATTGACACCAGATGGGAGAGAGGACTCTGGTGTGTTCTCAACAATCTGTTTCTAATTCTGTCTCCCATCCAGACACCTGAGGTTCCAAAGCCCTTCTGGAGTTTGCTTGATAAACCCTAATGGTGTTGTAGGCTGTGCGGGAGGCTTGTAAACCCAGGGGCTGCTGGTTTAAATAACTTGTCTGTGGCTCCGCTCTAAAATTCATCTACCCGCCCGTCAGTCTAGCACTAAATAAATCAGTGTGCTAAGTACTTGGAATAGCGCTGGCTATCAGTAACCATGGAAAGAGACATTGCTCCCGTTTTAAGATGATTTGGGAAGTGTGATTTACAGTTACTTGGGACAAGGAGCAGTATACAAGAAAAAGATGACAGCCTACGGCTAATATTTAAAATTAGTTTTGCTTTCTAAATTTCTTTTCTGGGTAACTTTGGACACTCCACTCGGCTCCTCAGAAGCTACGCAGTTCTCTGCCTTGTTCCGCCGGACAGCACCTTTAAAGTCTCCTTTGTAAAGGCCAGGATGGTGCAAGTAAAAGTGCTTCCGAGCGCCATTTGGAGCCTCTGATGGCTTTCCGGGTTTTGTTTTGTTAAACATAAGCAAATCTGGGACCCAAATGAGTTTTGCCATTCAGGACTCGGTGAGAGTGAGACCCAGCCCTAGACCCGCCTCCGCTGGCTGGCAGTTCAGCTTTCAGTAACACTGGTGGCAGAAGCCTGCTGCCCTCAACAAATATGGCCGCTGCGCTGCCGCCTGGGACTCTCGAGCTCTAGCTCACCGGGCCGGAACCACGTAATGCCGGAGGCGGGACTCAGGCGGAGTGTGTCTCAGCAGAGCAAGGTGAGAGCTGGTTGCTGAGCTGTCCCTGCATACTGCCTCTGTGTGCCCTCGCCATGTGCGCGTGGGGTCTGTGGCGCTGCTGGTGAGGATCCGGGGATTGAGTGGGGAAGAGAGGGAGGTGGGAAGAGAGGGAGGGGCTGGAACGGGTGTCCCCTTAAAAAGGGTCAGTTCTGCGTCCTCCCTATTCTGGCCTCTAAGCACTGGGCCAGCAGGAGCCTGTTTGATCCGGACCTGTTGGGCCAGGCTCAGCTGTGCAGGTGGACGTACCCGGATGGGAACCATACCCACCCAGAAGCACCTCACCCCTGGCTCTCCCATCTCGCTGTAGTCCAACAGCCTGCCTGGCCATGCTCTTTTGAGTCCCTCTTCCAGCTCTTCCTTCAGAAGGGGAACCGGAGGCAAGTTGATTGCCCTCTTTGTTCTTTTAAAAACATGCAAGTTGACATCACATGTAGGAATCACGCAGTCTTGATTCCTTGGCGTTTGTACTCTGTGGAAATCAAGATGCAACTCCTTAAAAGACATTTATCCGGGAATGATGGGGCACACTTTTAATCCCAGTACTTGAGAAGCAGAGGCAGGCAGATCTCTGAGTTCAAGGCCAGCCTGGTCTCCAAAGGGAGTTCCAGGACTGTATATAGAGAGAAACACTCTCAGGAAAACAAAACAAAGGAAACAAAGATCTTCAGCTGAGGGAGTAAAAGATGAGAGACCCTAGTATTGCCAATTTA